TTTCTTCCTTTCTTTTTTAAGGTTTTATTTATTTATTTGAGAGACAGAGCACAAGCGGGGAGGAGGGGCAGAGGGAGAGGGAGAAACAGGCGCCCTGTGATGTCTGAATTCTTAAAGAATAATTTGCGTCCATGATTCAAAAATACTTTTTTTTAGGGGCGCCTGGGTGGCTCAGTCTTTAAGCATCTGCCTTTGGCTCAGGTCATGATTCCGGGGTCCTGGGATCAAGCCCTACATGGAGCTCCCTGCTCAGCGGGAAGCCTGCTTCTCCCTCTCCCACTCCCCCTGCTTGCGTTCCCTCTCTCGCTGTGTCTCTCTCTGTCAAATAAATAAATAAAATCTTAAAAAAATAATAATTTTTTTAAAATTTTTTATTTATTTGCGAGAGAGAGAATGAGAGACAGAGAGCATGAGAGGGAGGAGGGTCAGAGGGAGAAGCAGACTCCCTGCCGAGCAGGGAGCCCGATGCAGGACTCGATCCCGGGACTCCAGGATCATGACCTGAGCCGAAGGCAGTCGCTTAACCAACTGAGCCACCCAGGCGCCCAATAATAATAATTTTTTTTAGCACGCACCAGTTAGTATCATGGGCTTTGCGAGCAGGTGGACCTGGGTTCAAATCCTGTGAGCTCTCCCCTCTGAGCCTCACCTTAGTGCCCCAAGAAGTGGGGATGAGGATGTCTGCGTCCTGGGCGGCCAAGGGGTCAGACAGGATGATGACCTATGTGGAATGGCCAGCACAGAGCTGGACACACAGTGGGTGCCAATACTTTGCACAAGTGACCTCCCCCCTCTGAATGAGGGAACTGCAAAAGCTGGAGTCAAGTGTCCTGGGTTCTGGTCTGGCCACCTCCACCTAAAGCAAGCCCCAGTGCTTTCCCCCTGCCTTTGTTTCCTCATCTGCAAAATGGGTAAGTGCTCCAGGAAAGGGGTGAGGACAGTATGTTTGCAAAGACCAGGACCTACAGCCAAGCCCAGGGTTCCCGCCACGGTGCGGTGCAGCCTCCCTCTGACATTCCTGGGACCTGTGAGCCGACATCGCCCTCGGTCAAATTTGTCTGGCCTGCACAGTGCTTTTGGAAATATATTTTGAGGGGCGCCTGGCTGGCTCAGTCGGTTAAGCGACTGCCTTCAGCTCAGGTCATGATCCTGGAGTCCCGGGATCGAGTCCTGCATCGGGCTCCCTGCTCAGCGGGAAGCCTGCTTCTCCCTCTCCCACTCCCCCTGCTTGTGTTCCCTCTCTCGCTGTGTCTCTCTCTGTCAAATAAATAAATAAATAAAATATTTTTAAAAATAACAATAAAATAATAATATTCTGGGGCGCCTGGGTGGCTCAGTTGGTTAAGCGACTGCCTTCGGCTCAGGTCATGATCCTGGAGTCCCTGGATCGAGTCCCGCATCGGGCTCCCTGCTCGGCAGGGAGTCTGCTTCTCCCTCTGACCCTCCCCCCTCTCATGTGCTCTCTCATTCTCTCTCTCTCAAATAAATAAATAAAATCTTTAAAAAAAAAAAAAAAAGAAATTAGTAATAGGGGCGCCTGGATGGCTCAGTTGGTTGAGCGACTGCCTTCAGCTCAGGTCATGATCCTGGAGTCCCGGGATCGAGTCCCGCATCGGGCTCCCTGCTCGGCGGGGAGTCTGCTTCTCCCTCTGACCCTCCCCCTCTCATGTACTCCCTCTCTCTCATTCTCTCTCTCTCAAATAAAAAATAAATTTAAAAATCTTAAAAAAAAACAACAACAACAAAAAAGAAACTTAAAAATAAAAAAAGAAATATAGTTTGAATATGTGGCCAAATTTGCAAAGCTCGATCTTTCAGGAAAACTCCTGAATTGTGGCCTCTTTTGAAAACATCAGCACATCTGGCCACTCAGGGCCAGCTTCCTGCAAGGCCGGAGGGGGCCTTGGGGAGGGAAGGCTGCTCTGATTTTCTGATTCCCGCTGGGCCTCAAGGGGTAGGAGATCACAAACTCAGCACAGGCTCTCTCAAAATTCTTCCCAGGAATTTGTACAGGTGCTACCAAAATGCCATGGAATAAAAACCACGACTTTTAGAAGAAGTATCAGCACGGTATTAAACTTCAGTCATTAAACCAACACTGACACAGAACTTGCTACCTAGGGCCAGACACTGTGCTTTACCACTATGAACCTCTCATTAGAACCCTATGAAGAGGGCGCCTGGGTGGCTCAGTTGGTTAAGCGACTGCTTTCGGCTCAGGTCGTGATCCTGGAGTCCCGGGATCGAGTCCCGCATCGGGCTCCCTGCTCGGCGGGGGGTCTGCTTCTCCCTCTGACCCTCTTCCCTCTCGTGCTCTCTGTCTCTCATTCTCTCTCTCGCAAATAAATAAAATCTTTAAAAAATATATAGAGGGCGCCTGGGTGGCTCAGTTGGTTAAGTGACTGCCTTCGGCTCAGGTCATGATCCTGGAGTCCCAGGATCGAGTCCCGCATCGGGCTCCCTACTCGGCAGGGAGTCTGCTTCTCCCTCTGACCCTCCCCCCTCTCATGTGCTCTCTGTCTCTCTCATTCTCTCTGTCTCAAATAAATAAATAAAATCTTTAAAAAAAAAATATATATATATATATATATATAAAAAGAACCCTATGAAGAGGGAATTGATTATCCCCATTTTACAGACAAGGAGACTGAGGCCCAGAAAAATAACAGACTTGCCCAAAGTCCCACAGCTGCTGAGTAGTAGAAGCTGGCTTTTGAATCACCCCTGCTCTCTGGTTCCACAGTCTATATGTTTAACCATGAGACCATGCCACACAATCAGTAAATCCTCACAGTGACCTGGTCGGGACCTTACAGATAGGGAAACTGAGGCATGGAGAGGTCAAGTCACATGCCCAAGGTCACGCTAATAGAAAGTAGCTAATGTGGGATTCAAATCCAAGTAGTCTGGCTCCAGGGCCCCTGTTCCCAATTCCTGAGCTACTCATTAAGCCAATGACCTTGGACAAGTCATTCAGACTCCCTAAGCCTCAGTTGCCTCATCTGTAAAATGGGGCTGCTGTACAAAGAAATGCTTAGAGCAGCACCTGGAATACACTGAGTGCTGCTATTATTGCTTTAATACCATCCAACTCCCGAACCTGTGTGCTGAACTTGTATGTCCTAAAATAAGGAAGTCTGGGGGCGCCTGGGGGGCTCAGTCGTTAAGTGTCGGCCTAAGACTCAGGTCATGATCCCAGGATCCTGGGATCGAGTCCCACATCGGGCTCCCTGCTCTGCGGGGAGTCTACTTCTCCCTCTGCCCCTCCCCCTGCTTATGCTCCCTCTCTCTCTGAAATAAATAACTAAAATCTTTAAAAAAATAAGTAAATAAAATAAGGAAGTCTGAGCAAACCCTGCACGAGGAAGCCCTTGAGAGGGTCCACTGTCAATAGCTGTTCTGCCACCCACCACTACCAGGACCCTGCCAGGTAGCCTACCTCTAGAGGAGTAAAATCATGGTTGACCAGGAACGCCAGGATGGCCGTGGGAACAACAAGGAACTCCACCCGGAATGTATCGTGGTTCCCATCGTAAGTGGCTTTGAACTTGCTGTAAATCATCCAGACTGTGGTGAAGGAACAGGCAATGTAGACCACCTGCCAAGGGGGGATGACGAGGAGGGCACTTCAGCTCAAAGTGCAGGGCCTGAGCCTCCAAGAGATTGGGACTTAGGAGTCTGGAACCCCGGCCGCTTCCTCCCTCAGACCCAGGAGTCCAGGACCCCAGCCTCCTCCCTCAGACCCAGCAGTCCTTACCCCCAGTCCCTCCTTCCTCACATCCAGGAGTCCTCACCTCCAGCCCCCCTCTCCCTTGGACTCAGGAGTTTGGAACCCCAGCCCCTTCCTCCCCTGGGCCCAGGAAGTCTGGGCTCCATACTCCCTCCTCCCTAGGACCCTCACTTGGCTCCCCCCTCAGGAGGGCCCAGCAGGTGGGGTAGAGCCTTTACCTTCATGCAGGTGTTGTACAGTGAGATGTAGTTGGTGAAGAGGTCCAGGTATCGGGCGGTGAACACCACAGCAAACAGGACCTGGCTCTTCCCTGAAATCCCTGTGGTCCAAAGAGAGAGTGGGGGGTAGGCTGGGAGTGGGCTGCCTGGGGAATAAAGCAAGGCCCAGCGCCTGGGACCAGCCCAGAGTCGGCTCCAGAGTGCAGCTGTCCCTGGAGGCCTCCCCAGCCCTCCCCGCCTGAGCAGGGCCCTTTCCCACGGCCCACAGCCAGGGGGCAGCCCGGCCCCGAAGCTACTCCAGCCCGAGGCTCTGTCCCAGGCTAGGCCTCACGGCCACTCCCGGCCCCCTCAGGGTCCTCCCACAGTCCGGACACAAGGTGGGGCCTCGGAAGGACCCCACTTGACCTCAGCCCCCTGGAAGCGGTCGCCGCTCTCCCGCTCCCTTCCTGGCCGCCACGGTCCACGTCACCAACTCCGGGCCACCTCCCTGCCTGCCACGGTTCCCGGGGCCACCAGAGACGGGCCCGGGGGGAGCTGAATTGGGTGCCAGGAGCCACCCCCACCAAACTGTATGCACCCCTAGTCTGGGGGAGGGAACTGACCCCCCGGTGACCCCGGACTGGAAGGGGGATCCCCAGCAAGCAGCGGGGGGCTGGGTGGGGAGACCCGTCCCCTCGTGCCTCCAAACCCTTCCCCGAGTCCTGCGATGTCCCCCGCGCTGCCCCCTTCTCCCGCCCCGCTGGGCGTCTCACCGGCACAAGAGCGGGACTTCCAGATTTTGAGCAGTAGCAAGATGATGGCTAGGAGGTGGGAGAGGTCTCCCAGGAATCGGAAGAGATTCATGCTTTGGGAGGGGGCTCTGGCAGGGCTGGGCTGGCGGGAGGCAGGCTGGAGGGGGTCTGCCCCCCGGGACTGATGTTCTGGCCGGGTAGCTGGGCTGGGGGGGGGGCGGGAGAGGGGCCCTCGGGTGGGCTCCGCTCCGGGGAGGGGGCTCTGGGAGGGGGAGCCGAAGCCGGAGCTGGTGGCAGAGCAGGAGCTGGGAAGAGGGAGGAGGGCGGGAGGGGGGAGGAGTCCGGCGGGAGGCTCCGCCCCCGAGGGCGGAGTTCCGGCTCTCCGGCGCCCCCTATGCCCGCACCTCCGGGCTTGCGGAATCGGCGCTAAAGGCACCCCCAAGGCTGCCTGTCAGGAATTTGTGGGGTCGATGGGATCTGAAACTCCCAAGTCCAAGTCCGGCACCTGCTCCTCCAGGCGGCCTGTGCCTTTGCGAGGGTAGCGGCTCAGCCTCCCAGGCTCTGCGGTTGTCAGGGACTCGGGAGGCTGGGCTGCGAGTTTTTTTAAAATCCTAGACAGGGCCCCAGACGCTGGCCTTTCAGGGGCCTCCAGCTCCAGTCCCCCCAAAAGACCAGAAAGCAGCCCCCAGCCCCTCCCTCAGACCCAGGAGTCTGGCGCCTCAGCACCTTCATCCCCGAGGACCCAGGAGCCCTTCTGGGTCTGAGCCGTTCTGGAAGGGGACTCAGCCCCCTTCTTCCCTCAGACCCAAGAGTGTGCCCCCCTTCCTGAGACTTAGGGTACCCCCTCCACCGACTTGTGTCTCCAGCATCCTGGCCCGAGAACCTAGATGCACAATCCCTTCCTCCCTCTGGGACCCACAGATTCAGGTCCCCAGCCTCTTCTTTTTCGGGAATGTGAGTCTTCACCCCTGCTCTCCCAGACCCTGGAGTCAGCCCCCCACAGCCCTGCCCCCTCACAGGCACACACACACACACACACACACACATACACTCTCCTGGGCTCTGCCCGCGGGGGCCCAGGTGTCCTGCACTCCCACCCCACCCCCCCACTTTAGAGAACGCTGGGCCCAGCCTCTCGGGCATGAGGGGCATGGGCTGGGCAGCTGGCCTGAGGGCCACTCCGGGGGCCAGGCTGTGTCTAGGAGGAAGCAGACAGCTGCTTTCCTCTTGGACGTTTGAGTACCCATGGGTGACGGAGGCCAGGGTGCCTCAGGAACAGAAGTGATATTGGTTTCCTCAGAGGCCTGGATGGACTGGGTGCCTGAGGGTGACATCCATGAGTCTCGGACTGGTGGGACCCTGAGGATGGTTTGTGCTGGGGGGTCAGGTTGTCTGAGTGCCCAACAGGGACTGGGCCTGGAGGAAGGGATCTGAGGGAGGAGGCACTGGGGCCTGGACTTTAGGGTCTGAGGGAGGAGGGGGCTGGGGACTTGAATTGCTGGATCTGAGAGAGGAGAGGGCTGGGAGCCTGGACTCCTGGCTTCATGGTGGAGACCTAGTTTGCAAGCCTGGCCTCTGGGGCAAGAGAAACCAAAAGATGGGTCCTAGCGCGGCGGAGACTAAAGTCTAGGAATGGCCTCCTGCTTCTCAAGCCTCAAAGTGGGGAGGGGGCAGAAGTCAGCAGCCCCTGGGCCCTGGAGTCCACGGCGGAAGCTGTTATGTCAAGGCTGGGTTCTGAGTCCCTGCCTCTCTCCACCCCTCCCACCCCCCCCTCAACACACACTTCCTCCCTTTTTATTTGTGGACCCCTCATTCTCTTGTCCCAGGAGGGAGGCAGAGGCTGGGAGCTGGGGGTGGGGGGCGGCCCCCTCCCCCAGCCCCGGCAGGAGGAGGGGTCCCCAGGGAGGCCAGGAGGGGGGGCTATGGGTCTCCCGGCAGGGGCGGATGGGGACTGAATGTTAATCGCATCCCGAGTGAGTGTGTGTGTGCGAGAACAGAGCGAGTGTGCGAGTCCCTCCCGCTCCAGGTCCTCCAAGCAGCGGCTGCCGCCGCCACCCTCCACCCGCAGCCGCCCTCGGCCACCAGTGCCCAGCTGGGGGGTGTCGGCCTGGGTGGGTCCGCCCGGCCCCCAGGGGTCTCTCGTGCGTCTGCCAGCTGCCCGGTGAGGATCTGTGTGTCAGGGTGTCTGGGGCTGGGCTGGTGAAGGGGGGGTGTGTCTGTAAGGGCTGCGGCGGCCGAGGGAGGGAGGGAGGGAGGGGTCTGTCTGTCTGTACCGACTCTGAGCCTCCTGCCTGGGTGTCGTGGGCCCCCCCCCGGTCTCCTCCCCCCGCCCCAGCCCCCCAAACCCGGATGGATGGTGTGTACCTGGACTCTGTGCCTCCTGCCTGCGTCCGGCCGGGCGTCTGGCGTCCCCAGCTGCCTGTGTCCTCCTGTCTGTCCGAACAGCCCCGGACGGCAGTGGCAGCCCGGCCCCCATTGGACCCCCCCGTGTGTGTGTGTGGCTCCCTCCTCGAGCTCCGGGGGTGTTGAGGGGGAATCCCAGGGAAGTGAGGTCGTGCGTGTGTGCGTGTGTGTATGTGTGTGTATGTGTGTGTTTCTGCCTGGGTTTGAGTGTGGGGGTGCTGGGGGGGGTCTGGAGGTGGCCAAGCGAGGAAGGGGCAAGCAGTTCCCCAGACAGGCAGCCTCCCGCCCCTCACACTAACACACACACACCAGCCACCGGCTTCAGAGGTGACCCAGACAGACAGACAGACACAGACGCTGGAGGGGGGGGGCGCTGAGGGCACAAAGGGTGGGGGTGCGAATGAGCCAGAGAGAGGCGGGACCGGACACATGGACCGGGGGGAGGAGCCGGGGCTGAAGCAGCAGAGGGGGGCACCCCAGGTGGGCGGAGGGGGGATCCCCACAGGGTCGGGGCGGCGAGAGGACACCCCGACAGCCTCCGCAATGTCCGGGGCCCAACTTCCAGTGCAACATGTGTAGCAGCAACCTCGCCTAGTTGGGGTGGCCGCAACCTTGGGGGACAGACAGGGCAGGACGGGACCGAAGACGAGGAGGGAGAGCCGGAGCCGGGGACAGGCAGGAGGTCCCCACCGCCGCTGCCGCCGCCGCCGCCCCAGGGCTTTGCCCCCCAGCGGTTCCCTGAGCCCTCCGCCGAGAATCTTCGGGTCGCTGGACTCTGGGTTCCGGTCCTGCCCCCCCGCAGTACCCCCCACAGAACAGGGTCATGAAAAGGTAAGGCCGGGGTAGGGGATGCGGGGGTGGGGGAGGGAATGTGGACCCCCAGATCTAGGACAGGGAAAGTTGGCCAGGGGCCTCAGGGAAGGAGGGGGATTGCATGGTGAGCAGGGGTCTTTGCCCCTCGCCAGCTCCCTTGTCTCCTGGAGACTCTCCTCCACCCCCTCTCTTTCTCCCTCTCTGAGCCCCTTTTTCCTGGGTCTCTACTCCTCAGACCTCCTAACCCCCCATTTCTCTGACACTTTGCACCCTCTCCCCAGCCCCGTATACCTGACACCCCATCTCTCTCTCTTTCCCCCATCTCTCCATCCCATCTTCCCTCTGCATCCCCCTGCCAGCATCGGTCTCCCCCCTCGCTGGCCGTTCCTCTCCCTCTCTCCTCTCGCTCTCCCCTCCCTTCTCAGAGCTATGAGTCTGCTATTAATACCCCCGCCAAGGACCTTGAGGGCATCCAGGCCCCAAGCACCCCTCACCCCAAGCTACCACCCCCTCCTCAAGGTTCTGGAATACCCTTCCAGCCTGTTCTGAGCACCAGGATTAGGGTGGGGAGAGAACGGTGTTGGAGGTGCGGGGGCGGGGGGGTAGAACGGGATGCCGTCTGCGGCACGACACGAGGGGGGGGCGGGCTGTTGATCAGAGTGGCCTCTCCTCTCTTCTTTGATGGATTGGGGGGAGTGATGGAGACAGGGACACCCCAGGAATCTCTGGCATCCTCCTCCTTCTTAGCTGGGGGACAGCCTGTGCTGTATACAGGACCTGAGTGGGGTGACAGGAGGCTGGAGCTGGCGGGAATGGGGGGGCTCCCAGGATGTTGGGACTGATGGGGTTTGAGGCAAAAAGGGGGTTCTTAAGGGAAGAAATGACTATGGGCCTGGATTCCTGGTTTCTGGGCATAGCGGAGGCTGGGCACCCAGTTTAGGGGGCCGGAGGGGGCCAAGACCTCTGGGTCCTGGGAAAAGACAGAACTGAGCATCTGGACTCCTGGGTCCTAGGGGAGAAGCGTGCTGAGAGCCAAGATTCTTGAGTCTTTATGGGAGAAGTTAGATAGAGCTTCTGTGTCTGAGGGAAGAAGGGGCTGGGGGCCCAGTCTCCTGAGTCTCTGACAGGGCAGGGGACGAGGGGGGTCCAGCTCTTGGGCCCCATGGGAATGGATCTGGGGACTGAGACTTATGAGGTGGAGATTGGGGGCCTGGGCAATGTAATCCCTGAGGGCATAGGTTCTGGGAATTGGGCCTCCAGAGTCTCCCAGCGGCTGGGGATGCCACTACTCAGACCCTGAAGGGGTGGGAGACTGCCCTTCCCACCAGAGGACTGGGCATCCAGCTTCCTAAGAAGGGTGGGGCTGGAGTTACCCTCCTGGGCCTCAGCAGGGGGTAGGACCTGGGGTCCCCAAGGACGGAGGCCAAGCAGGGGTGGATCTGAGAGAGGCAGAGGAGGGTCTGAGGGATGCAAAGCCACTGGGAAGGGAGGAGTGAGTGAGTGTTAACCCCGCAGGGGCCAGGCCACAGCTGTGGGTTATTTTGGGGTGGGGGGGGCTATTCTGAGCGCTGATTGAGCCAGCTGCTTGGGGAAGGGCAGAGGAGAGGAGGGGCCAGGGGAGCCAAGATTTGGGAGGGACGGGCACACTAGGAGTCCCCACCCCCATCCCTGGGGAGACAGTGGCCCAGGATCCCTGGGAAGGCAGGTGTGTGTTGCAGGGAGGGGAGCAAGGCCTCTAGGCAGGGGAAGGGGTGTGGGCCTTTCCCCCACCCTGGCTATTTGTGGGGTAGAGGAGGCCTGCGCTACCATGGCAACCGGACAGAAGCCTGATTGACAGCCAAGAGAGAACTCTTCCCCATCTGGACCTTCACCCCTTTAGGAAGCCCCTAGTGCAGGCTCTAATCTCTCTCTGGGAACCAGGAGTCCAGGCCCCCAGTACCCTCCTCCTTCAGACCCAGGAGCCAGGAGTCTGGGCTCCCAGCCCGACCACCCCAGGCAGCTAGTATTCAACAGGGGACACAGGAAGAGATGCTGTATTTCCTCTAATTTACTAAATTGCTCTGGGCTGGGAGCCAGGGACCCCTGCCCCCTGGCTCTCCACAGCTGTGCCCCCCAACCCTGCAACCCAGCCTGGGCCGTAACTCTCTTTCTAGCTCTCACTGAGAATGGGGGGGGGATAGGGACAGAGTAAGGGGACAAAAACAGGTTGGGGGTTGTGGTCAAGGTGGGAGGTAAGGTCCTGGGGGTGTTTTCTCTCCTTGGGATGTCCCACTCATTTCTTTTTCTCTCTTCTTTCTCTCCCCCCACACACCTGACCCCTTTTCCCTTTCTCATTTTTTTCCCTCACTTTTTCTTCCTTTTATTTTTGATCCCGCCTGCCACCCGCCTCCCTTTCATGTCTGTGCTGGGCACCTCCCTGGTGGGGGTCTTGATCTTTGCCTTGGTTCGCTATTTCTGTCTTCCTATGTTTTCTGTCTGCTCTGCCTGCCTCCTCCCTCAATCTGTTCTGCCTGTTTCTCCGTCTCTTGTGTGTCCATGTCTCTTGGTGGCCGTGGGGTCCGTCTCCATCTTTCTGGGCTTCTTTCCGTCTTCCTATCTCTGTCCAACTTTCTCGTCTCTCTTATCTCTCCCGCCTTCCTTGTCTTCCTCTGCATCTCTCCCTGCCTCTCTATCTTTCCCTCCCTATTTCTGTCACTCGGTCTTCTCTCTGCCTCCTTCCTCTCCCTGTCTCTGTCACTCTGAGCCTCTCCATCCTCGTCTCTGTTTCTCCTTCCATCTCTCTCCTTATTCCTGTCCATGTCTCTCTCCGACCATCTCTCTGTGGCTGTGTTCATCTCTCTTGCCATCTCCCCCTTTCTCTCTCGGCTCCTGTTCTGATCCCGTCTCTGCGGGTCTGTTACCCATTCCTGCCTTGTCTCCCTCTTTTCCCCATCTCTGCATCTTCTCTGTCCCCATTACCCACCTCCACTTTCCCTGTCTCTGTGTCTCTCCCTTTGCCTCGCTCTCTCTGTCTCTGTCTCTCCCTTTGCCTGTGTGTCTCTCGGTGGCTCCCTGTCTCTATATCGCAACCTTTCCCTCTCCTCCCTATCTCTGAGTCTCTCCCTCCCTGTATCTCCTCCTGCCCGTGTCTCTCTATATCCTGTCCCCCGTCTCTGTCTCCCCATCTCTGTGTCTTCCTCTCATTTGTGTCCCTCTCCGCTCCCGGGGTCTCCCCGGCTCGGTGCGCCCGCTCTCCCGTGTCAGAGGCCGCCCGGAGGGGCCCGCAGGCGATGCGCGGCGCCGGTGGCCCCCGCGGCCCTCGGGGCCCCGCTAAGATGCTGCTGCTGCTGGCGCTGGCGTGCGCCAGCCCGTTCCCGGAGGAGGCGCCGGGACCGGGCGGGGCCGCCGGGCCCGGCGGGGGCCCCGGCGGGGCGCGGCCGCTCAACGTGGCGCTCGTGTTCTCGGGGCCCGCGTACGCGACCGAGGCGGCGCGCCTGGGCCCGGCCGTGGCGGCGGCCGTGCGCAGCCCGGGCCTGGACGTGCGACCGGTGGCGCTGGTGCTCAACGGCTCGGACCCGCGCAGCCTCGTGCTGCAGCTCTGCGACCTGCTGTCGGGGCTGCGCGTGCACGGCGTCGTGTTCGAGGACGACTCGCGCGCGCCCGCCGTCGCGCCCATCCTCGACTTCCTGTCGGCGCAGACCTCGCTGCCCATCGTGGCCGTGCACGGCGGCGCCGCGCTCGTGCTCACGCCCAAGGTGCGCGCGACCTGCGGGGGGGCGGGGCCAGCCGCGGGGGGCGGGGCCAAGCCTGAGGGTCCGCGTCTGGGACGGAGTGGGGCCGGAAGGGTAGGGTCGGGGCTAGGTGAGGGGCGGGGCTGGCTTGGGGGGCGTGGCCTGTAGGCTGAGCGGAGCCTGGGAGCCTGCCTGGGGACTGACCTAGGAGCAGGGTGAGAGAGGGGCCAGTCATGGTCAGAGTATGCGGAGGGTTGAGGGTCTGCGGGAGGAGGGAGTCAGGGGAGGGAATGGAATCTGGAGAAGAAGCGGGGAAAGGCAGCGAGGGGCGGGGACTGGGAACAAAAAGGGACCCGCCAGAGGTGGCCTGCTCTGAGGGTGGAGTGGGATCTGGGGATCAGCAAGGGAGGAGTCAGTTGGAAAGGAATGGGGTTTAGGAAGGGGTGAGGTCTGGTCAGGAGCCAGGAGCCAGGAAGGCAGGGAGAGGGCCAAGAAAGAGGGTACGCGGAGGTCAGGGTACTGAGGGGCAGGGAGGGTTTCGGCCAGCTGAGCAAGGGCTCTAGAAGTCTAGGTAGGAGGACGGAGCCTTCTGGTGAAAGGAGGAGTGGGAGAAGGGGAGGGGTCGTAGATGGGCTGGGGAAGGGCAGAACCATGCAGCCAGGAAGTGGGGCGAGGGCAGTCAGGAAAGGGGAGAGCTAGCTGGTGAGGTGGTGCAGAGGGAGGTCAGGAAGATGGCAGGGCCTACGCTCTGGACTAAAGGGGCGGGGTCTAAAGTGGGAAACAGCCCCGGGAGTGGGGTTTGGCCAGAGGCATGCCCCAGTTGTAAGGCGTGGAAAGCGAGAATCTGGAGGGTGGGCCTGGGAGGATGAAGGCCCACCAGAAAGGCAGGCCCAGCCAATGAGAAGTCAAACCCAGGAGGCTGCAGGAGAGAGGGGGCAAGAGGCTGGAGCCGGCTGTGGCCTGGAAAGAGGCCTGCCGCCCGAGGGACACCAGCTGGAGTGGACTTCTGGTAGAAAAGGAAAGAATTGGACCAAGCCTGGTGTACGCGCTGAGAAGGAGAAGGGACAGGCTAGGAGGAGGTGCCTGGGAAGGGGCATGGCCTGTTTAGGGGTGGAGCCAGTGTAACCGAGGTGGTACTAGGGCCGATGGGGCCATCTGAGTGGGTGGAGCCCAAGTCCCCACCTGTTCCCTGCTGTGAGGGCCGGTGGCTTCGGGTGCTTCGTGACTAGGTCACAGTTACATCCTGGGACTCGTAGTTCTCTGCTGTCCAGAGCATTCTGGGAAGGGCCTCTGGCCAACTTTCTTCTTTTAGACAGGAGTTGTCCAGAGATATGCAAGCCGATCACTTTCGAGGTGGACTTATTACTCCGTGGCTGCCGCCTTTGTGGCCTACCGAGAGATGTGACTCCTCTTGCCTCCATTGCTGCTGAGAAGTGTGGGCCACTGTTTATTGTCACCTGGGACCTGTGGCCCGCTCAGTGTACACTCTTTGCCTTTTGGGAAATGTAGTCCCTCTAGTATCTCTGGATGGAAGAAAGAGGGGTCCTCACAGGGCCATCGTGCCTCCATGGAATGCTGGGAAAGTGGTCCCCTCAGCATATCTCCACTTGCCAAGGATGAGTTCCTCTCAGGATTCTCATTGCATGCTGAGAGACCTCATCTGCTCAGGACAACTGCCCTATCTCCTGCACACATAACCACAGGCACACACCTAGGAAGAAAGTCCATTTCCTCTTCTCACTGAGGGCTGACTCCGTGCCGGGTCTGTTTTAGGTTCCGTGGAATACAGTTGTGAAAAGGAAAAAAAAAAAAAAAAAAAGACAGGATCCCTGCTCTTAATGGAGCCTGCATTCTAATGGGGAGACAGAAAGCAAATAACAGATGGTGAAATCTGTCCTGGAGGAAGGGTAGGATGGCAGTCAGGAGAGGCCTCCCCGAGGAGGTGGCAAATGAGCTGGACTGGAGGAATGGGGAGTGGTAGGTCCAGCGTGGAGGAGCTAGGGGAGAGTGTCCCCGCGAGAGGCAACAGCAAAGGGCCAAGCCCTTGAAGCTGGAAGGAACTTGATGTGTTTGAGGAAGAACAGAGAGGTGGGGGTGGTGGGAGATGAGGTCAGAGAGGCAACGAGGGCCAGTTCATGCAGGGCCTGTGGGCCAAAGTGAGGACTTTGGCTTTGACTCTAAGGTAGAAGTATTGGAAGGTTTTCAACCAAGAAGGGATGTGATCCAATTAATATTTTGAAAACATGAATTTGGCTGCTGATGGAGAATGGACTGGAAGATGCAAAAATGTTAGCAGAGAGGGGTCAGGAAGCTGTTACACTTGTCTAAGCAAGACAGTGGTCAATGAGGGTTGTGATGGGGCAGTAGTGAGGAATGGAGTTATGTTTTGAACAGAGAGCCGAGAAGACTAGAAGATGGCCTGGATTGGGCGTGAGGGAAAGAGAGGGAAAGGATGATTTAGCCTTGGGAGCCGAGCAGCTGGGTGAATAAGGAATGGAAGTTGGGGAAGAGGTTTGAGGCTGGGTTGGGGGGGGGGGGTAGATGGAGAATTCTGTTTTTGACATGCTAATTTTGAGATGCCTCTTGGAAATCCAAGAGGAGATGTTGAGTAGAAAGGGGGATAGGTCTGTCCAGAGTTCACGAGAAAGGTACAGTGACTGGAGAGGAGCCATTAACATATTCAGTGCAGGGCAATAGAACTTTCTGCAATGAGGAAGATGGTCTATATCTGCTCTGTCCAGTATGATGGCCACTAGCCACGTGTGGCTCTTGAGCACTGGACATGTTGTTAGTGCAGCCCAGGAACTAAATGTTACTTAATTTTAATTAATTTAAATGGGTGGCTACTGGCTACCATATTGGATGGCACAGAAGACAGTATTTAAACACATGGGTCTAGATGAGATCACCAAGGAGGGAGGACAGAGAAGAGAACACTAGAGCACTTCTGTGTTTAAAATTCTGACAGAAGGAGAAGTCAGGGAGGCAGGAGGAAGACCAGAGAAGGGCAAATCCACTCAGCAAAGCTGCTTCCTGCTGGGAGAGACGGTATCTTCTTCGGCACCCTCGTTGCATGCTGGGAAATGTAGTCCCTCCCAGTGGATCCTGGGGACTGTAGTTCCCTCCCTGGATGCTGTGTGTGTTCTAGGGTAATGTTAGCTGCTATAACAGATAAACCCCCACATCTCAGTGGCTCAACCCAATAGAAGGTTGTTTCTCACTCATATAAAATCCAAACAGGTGTTCCTGACAAGAGGTGGTTCTCCTCCAAGTGACGACTCAGGGACTCAGTCTCCTCCCTCTTATGGCTCTGTAATCCCCTAGGACTTCGGAGTTCTCTTCTGGGGCCTCTGCATCTGTTCTCAGACAGGGAAGAGAGTAAGGTGCATGGGGGAGAGCTTTTCCGGATGAGTCTAGAACTCAGCCACATGGCAAAACCTAACCCAGGCCTAGCTCTGTGCACCAGCAGGGAAAGGAGAGGGGTTTGGTGAACAGCTAGTCAGTTGCCATATTGAGAGCCGTGACATACTGGTGGCCACTGGGAGCTGGGATGCCCTCATCAGTTGCTGGGAGATGAGATCTGTCTTGACCACTGGGAACTGAAGGCCCCTACTGGTTGCTGGGAGCCGTGGTCTCCACATCCAGAGGCTTGACATCCTCCTCCTCGCCCGCAGGAGAAGGGCTCCACCTTCCTGCAGCTGGGCTCCTCCACAGAGCAGCAGCTCCAGGTCATCTTTGAGGTGCTGGAGGAGTACGACTGGACATCCTTTGTAGCGGTGACCACGCGTGCCCCCGGCCACCGGGCCTTCCTGTCCTACATCGAGGTGCTGACTGATGGCAGCATGGTGGGCTGGGAGCACCGCGGGGCACTGACGCTGGACCCTGGAGCAGGCGAGGCCGTGCTGGGTGCCCAGCTCCGCAGCGTCAGCGCGCAGATCCGCCTGCTCTTCTGTGCCCGGGAAGAAGCCGAGCCCGTGTTCCGGGCAGCTGAGGAGGCTGGCCTCACGGGGCCTGGCTACGTCTGGTTCATGGTGGGACCCCAGCTGGCTGGAGGCGGAGGCTCAGGCGCCCCTGGAGAGCCCCCTCTTCTGCCAGGAGGCGCCCCACTGCCTGCCGGGCTGTTTGCAGTGCGCTCGGCTGGCTGGCGGGATGACCTGGCCCGGCGTGTGGCCGCTGGTGTGGCTGTCGTGGCCAGAGGTGCCCAGGCTCTGCTGCGTGACTATGGCTTCCTGCCCGAGCTCGGCCATGACTGCCGTGCCCAGAACCGCACCCACAGAGGGGAGAGTCTGCATAGGTGAGTGGGGTTGGTGTAGGAGGGCTGTGGGAAGGCTCCAGAGCCTGACTGCCTGGGGTGCTCACTGACTGAGCAGCCTCAAATGGGTCACGTCCCCTCTCAGAGCCTCAGTGTACTTTTCTGTAAAATGGATATACTTGGGTCTCCTGCCTGGGGTTAAATCAGGTAATTGGGAAAAAGCACCCAAGACACAGTGAGTGTGTTACGATACTTCCTGATTTTAAGACGAATTTTTCCCCACAGTTTAAGGTCTTAGAAATCAAGATATACCGTACGATTGATGGCTTATCATGGTTTAATCGGCAGCCCTTTTTTCTTTCTTTGCGGTGCATAAAACTAGAGATACACCCTATACTCGATGGCACCTCAGGTATGATGAAATTCCCTAAAGTATAAGCTGAATTTCAGTAACAAAATGACCCAGTAATTCCGCGGCCAGAACGAGATAGAAGTTGTTCTTCCTCACTTAACAATCTGGAAATGAGGAGCCCCTGGCTGACTCAGTCTGTGGAGCGTGCAACTCTCTAACTCGGGGTTGTGAGTTCGTATCCCACGTGGGGGTGTAGAGATCACTTAAAAAAAAAAAAGATTTTATTTATGTATTAGAGGGAGAGAGAGAGCACAAGCGGGGCGGGGCGGGGGGCGGCAGGCAGAGGGAGAAGCAGGCTCCCCACCAAGCAAGGAGCCCGATGCGGAGCTCGATCCCAGGACTCTGGGATCATGACCTGAGCCGAATGCAGACGCTTAACCGACTGAGCCACCCAGGGCGCCCCCAGATCACTTAAAAATAAAATCTTCCAAAAAAAAAAATCCAGAAATGAGTCTTCAGGAGGCTCTGTTGCTCCACGTGATCAGTCAGGGACCCAGGACCCTCCCACCTCGTTGCTCCAACACCTTTGCGCGGTCGGTTGAAGCGGGGTCGGCCGCACGTCTGAGAAAGCGGGAGAGAGAGAAAGTGGGGAGCAAGCAATTTCCTTCGGGGCAGGTGAGACGGCGGGGATGGCGTGGGGCGGCCAGGGCTGCCTTATTGGTTGTTTCCAGGCGCGTCGCGTGCAAATTGGTTAGACGTCGATTCTGATTGGCTAGCGCTTGCGCTGTACCGATTGTTAGAGTCTGAAGGTCTCACCTGCTTGGGGCCTGGGCTAGCGGCACCGAGGACTGGGAGGTGAGGATTCCAGGTGTGTGCCCGGCTTACGCTCAGGTGTTTTAGAAGCGAACAGGGTTTGGTGGGAAACAGCATCGCCACCGTAGGAAGCGTTGGCAGTAAGAAATTGATGAGTTTGGGGACGGAACCGTGGAGGGAGAGGCCTTTAAGCCCGAAATGAGGACGAGCTGAGCTTAAACAGGTGACCGGGGGAGAAGAAAAGCGAGGGGAGGGGAATTGAGAACCGGTGACTTGGGGGACAGGATCTGGGGACAAGAGGGTGAGAAAAAGCATCCCTCGTTCATAAATACTTACTGAGCGCCCGCTAGGAACTAGGACTCATGCTGGGCGCTGGGAACACGGAGATGAATAAGACCGTGGACTTCTCTTAAAAGAACACAGGGTCCTGTAGGGGTGGCAGACAGGGACAGGATAATGACAACACAGTGTGATGCTGGCAATCATGGAGGTGGCCCCGGGCATTGTGGGAGCACCAGCAGGAGTACTGTCTGCTCCAGGATGTTTCTGGTTGCCCGAAGCAGAGTCTCATTCAAGTTTCCTAAGGGAAAAGGGGGTTTATTGGGAAGATAAACACGCACAGAAACCCAGACGCCAGGAATTGAGGCCAAGCCTGGGGACCAGCTACTCTTTCATCTCTTTTTGATTGTCTCCCTCTTACTCTCCCCACCCCCGTCTCTGTCCTGCCATTCCGAGTCTGTCCAATTCTTCTCTTAGCACTCACTCTTTACCAGAATTTCTGCTCTCTGCTGATACTCATAATTTCATCCCATCCTGTCTTCCACCCATCCCCACCACCCCCAATTCTCACAGCCAACGTCTTCCCAAAAGACGAATTTCACTGGCCCCAATCAGCCTTCCAAACTAGGCTACTCAGTCACGGGTCAGCCTACGGGGTCAGGGAGGTCTCCAAGAGGAGGAGACATCGGAGCTGAGACCTGACGGATGAATGGCTCATTCATTCATTTATTGAATGAGTCTTTATGAGAGTCTGCTATGTGCCAAGCGCTGCTTTGGGCACAAGTGTACATGGTGTTGAACAAGGTCCCTGCTCTCATAGAGCCGACAGTCTCATAGGGGAGACAAACAGTGAACAAACAAGATAAAGAAGAAGAAATACCAGCAGGTGATCAAAACAGGTAGAATGTGATAAGAAATGCCCAGGGTGTGAGGTTAGGTGAGGTCGTCTGGAAAGTTCTTTCGGAGTAGGTGAAATTTGGAGGTGAGAAAAAAAATGGGCAAAGAAAAAGAGCCAACTGTTGGAAGATCTGAATGAGGAGAAGGGAGGGGGGACAGCAGGTGCAGAGTCGCTCGCTCGGGCTGGAATTGCCTATTTGGGAGCCTGAAACAAAGCCACCGTGACTGGAGCTTAGTGAGCAAGGCGGGGGGACAGGGTATTATGGAGAAGCAAGCGAGGCCCGTGTAGGCCCAAGCTCATGTAGGGCATTTTGGCCAGGCTAAGGAGTTTGGATTTGATTCTAAGAGCGGTTAGGAGTTCTCCAAAAATACTGAGTATTCCAGGCAGGGGGAACAGCATCGTGCAAAGGCCCAGAGGGGAGAAAAACTCAGGCAGGTTGGGACCACAACAGCTCAGAGGGGATGAAGGTAGGAGAATTGGGATTGGGGGTGATGAGGCTGGGGGTGGGGGTAGATGGGGCCAGACCACAAGAGCCTCAAATACCAGGTTGAGAGGCTGGACTTTGTTCTGGAGCACTGGGGAGCCATGGGTGGGTTGTGAGCAGGAAAGGAGTGGAGTCAGTTTTGCATACAGAAAGACGCCTCTGAGGTGGAGTGTGGAACAGACTGGAGGAGAGAAAATGGAGGTTGGGGACCAGGCAAGAGGCTGGGGCTGGGGTCCAGGGGGTCTGTGGAGATGGAGAGGAGGGATGACATGGAGATCCTGGGGGCAGGAAGGTGGAACTTGCGGACGGTGGCGGCGGGGGTGGGGGGGAGTGAGGAGGTGAGGATCGCAGTTGAGTGTCCAGTGCAGTGACCAGGGCCTGGGGACAGGCATTCATGGTACATGTCCCGTTGCATCGTGAAGATTATCTGGGAGTCCAGAGACCTTCTGGGGCTTTTCCCAGAGGAAGGGACACTTGAGCTGAATCTTGAAGACATAAGAATCAATCAGGATGAGAAGGGACAGAAAAGCATTTTCCAGGCAGAAAGCACAGCACCTACAATGGTCAAGAAATAGGAAACCGCGTGATACGTTTCGGGGACACTTTGCATTCAGTGTTGGTGGGGTACAGAAAGGGCTTGGGGTGGAAGGAGTTTGAGGGGAGGAAGAGATCAGAGATGGGGCTGCACAGGCAGATGGGGCCAGAACATACAGCGTCTCTAAGAGGACCTCAAACTCAAGCTGAGGGTCTACGACCCTGTTCAGGAGGTGCTGGGTAGCGAGCAGAGGTGGCTGAACAAAGAAGAGGAATATTTGGGTGTTCAGGATCTTGGGGGAGAGATTCCAGCTAGGGGCCGGGGCTGGTCAGTAGAAAGGGGATTATCTCTGCCTTCAGCCACTTAGGTCCAGTCCAGGTACCCACATGTCCCCTCCCTTCTTCCTGGGCAGGTACTTCATGAATATTACCTGGGATAACCGGGATTATTCCTTCAATGAGGATGGCTTCTTGGTGAACCCCTCTCTGGTGGTCATCTCCCTCACCAGAGATAGGACTTGGGAGGTGGTGAGTCCCAGCCCCAACCTCAGGCACACGAGAGGGCCTGGAGTCCCAGGTACTGAGGGAGAGGGTGTGGGGACCCAGACACCTAGGTCCTGACAGATGAGGACTCTGGCCTCTGAGGGAGGAAGGAGCCCAGGCTTCTAGGTCCTGGGAGAAATAAGTGGGAGCCCAGACCCGTGGGTTCTAAGGGGAGGGGGAAAATGGGGCCTAGACTCCTGGATCTAAGGGAGAAGGAGCTGGGAGTTCGGGGTTCTGAGGAAGGAGGGCCACAATGGCCAGGACATCCTGCAAAGTCCCCGCCCCGGAGCCTGAATCCCCTTCTCTTGGCCAAGGTGGGCAGCTGGGAGCAGCAGACTCTCCGCCTAAAGTACCCGCTGTGGTCCCGCTACGGCCGCTTCCTGCAGCCAGTGGATGACACGCAGCACCTCACTGTGGCCACGCTGGAGGAGAGGCCCTTTGTCATTGTGGAGCCCGCCGACCCCATCAGCGGCACTTGCATCCGAGACTCCGTGCCTTGCCGGAGCCAGCTCAACCGCACCCACAGGTGACAGCCCCGGCTCCAGGAGCTCCGGCTTCCCAACCCCCTGAAGCCTAGCAGTCCTGGCCCCCGGCCCCTCCTTCCTTGGAACTCAGAACCCACAGAGCCCTCCAGTTTAGTCACCTTGGACAAGTCACGGAACTCCTTTGAGCCTCAGTTTCCCCAGAAAGCGCTAACCATAGTTTTAGCTGCTTCTTGTCTCTCCCTCCATACCTTCATCTCATGGGAGAGTCTGAAGTGGGGGGGGGGGTCCCCAGCATCCCCAAGCCTGCTCGCTCCCCGCAGCCCTCCTCCGGACGCCCCCCGCCCGGAAAAGCGGTGCTGCAAGGGCTTCTGCATCGACATTCTGAAGCGGCTGGCGCAGACCATCGGCTTCAGCTACGACCTCTACCTGGTCACCAACGGCAAGCACGGAAAGAAGATCGACGGCGTCTGGAACGGCATGATCGGCGAGGTGGGGCGACCCCGGATGGGAGGAGGCGGGCTGGGGCGGGGCCACGGCGCCGGAGCTCTCGGGCTGGAGGGGCGTGGCCAAAAGGAGATGGAGCCCGGGCTCTGAGGGGGCGGGGCCACCCCAAGACCTGCCTTGGCTGAGGGGCGGGGCCACAAGGAGGGACCTGTGGAGTGGAGGGGGCGGGGCCGGGAGGTGGCCCTCCTAAAGGAAGGGGGCGGGGCCGAGAGAACGGAGCCCAAATCCAGAGAGCTTGTTCTGGGAGCATGACCGGGCCTGGGGCGACCTCTTCCAACCCCTGCTCCCCGCCTCTCACCTCCTCCTTTCCTGCCCCACTCTGCGTCCCCCTCCGCCACCCCGCCACCCTCCTAGCCTCTCTCACCCTGTCACTGGTCTCCTGGGGCAGGTCTTGCCCACCATCCTCCTCTATGCGCTTGAGCCAGCCAGGTTCCTTCACCCCCTCTTGCCCTCACCCCAGGTGTTCTACCAGCGCGCGGACATGGCCATCGGCTCCCTCACCATCAACGAGGAGCGGTCCGAGATCGTGGACTTTTCTGTGCCCTTCGTGGAGACGGGCATCAGCGTCATGGTGGCGCGCAGCAATGGCACCGTGTCCCCCTCGGCCTTCCTCGGTGAGCCCGGGCCCCCGGGACGGCAACACTTCCCATCCTGGCATTGCCTGTCCCCGTGGTGTGACTGGTGAGGTGGCATCACTTCTCACCTTAGGTTTCCCAATCTGTAAAATGGGAGAAGCCATTTTGCCATGAGGCCAAGGAAACTGAGCTTCAGGAACCTTCTCTCGCACATTCTCTTCAAGGCCCTGTACCTTGTATTCTTGTATTCATAATTTTGTGTTCTTTTTTTCTTAAAGACAACCCTCCACATTGTATAAGCCTCAGGCCCCACAAACCCCAAGTCTTCCCCTATATATGAGATGAGGAAAAGAGATTAGCATGGTAGTAGAACATGGTAAGTGCTCCACTCACTTCTCAGTGTTTACTGAGCATCTATCATGTGCCAGGCTCTGGGCCCCGCACACAAGCCCCTGTCCTCTAAGAGCTCTTGGCCTTGTGGGGAAGACAGAAAATAATCTCTTAAGGCGATACATGGACAAGATCATTTCAGGTGGTGATGAATAGTATGAGAAATTAAGCCAGGGTGGGAGGTGGAGAGGAATGGGATTGGTGCTGCCAGGAGAGGGCAGGAAGGCCCCTTTGGAGATTGGGCCTGAGAACCATTCCAGGCAGAGGGAACAGCAAGGGCAAAGACCCCAAGGCAGGAATGTGTGTGGAGTATTTGGGAAATGGCCGGAAGTCTGTGTGGCTGGAGGGGGCAGTGAGTGATCATGAGGGTGTGAGAAACAAGGGCTGAGAGAGAATTGGGGGGTGGGAGCATCGGGGGGCGGGGGAGATGCAGGGCCTTGGTGGCTCTGGTAGGAAAGTTGGGTTTTACTCTTATGGCAGTGGCCAAGGTTTTAGCTGTAGATGGTGGGGGAGGGGATATATGATCAGATCTAGGCTTTTAAAAATATCCCACCGGAGACAGTGGGGGCAGGAGGCCCATGAGAAGGCAGAGGTCCGTGCAGAGAGGAGATGGGTGTGGGATAGGAAGATGGGTGTGGGATAGGAAGGGTGAGGCGAGTAACCAGGGTTGGGGGTGTGGTTAGGAAGCTGGCCCCCATTGGGTTGGTGGCCATGAGCTGGATCGGGTAGGGATCTCACTGAACTTGGTGACAAGAGAAGGAAAAGTGCACATCAGGCCAAGGGCAGCCGTTCACGTCAGTTCCCTCTTGCTCTCTGAAGTCTGGGCAAAGCTCCTGGGAGTGGGAGGCTGGGAGAAGGGACATCTCTTCCTTTGCGTTTGGTTTCTGTATATTTTGCTGAGAGCATCTCTGTGGCACCAAGGTCTCTGCAGGGCACCCTGAGATGTGCCACATGGGGCCCCTGCCTTCAGCAGGGAAGTGACAAGGTCATATTTATGCCCCACCATGTTGCCCAGCAGAGGCAACAGGACTGTCCCCAGATGCCGCAGTGACAGTCTGGGGCGGTGACCCTGCTGTGACCGCTTGCGCTTGGCCCAGGGAGGGCAGATCACCTGGTAGGAATCTCAAGGAAGTGGTGGTTTGGGTTTATTGTCAGTGAACTCCCAGCGGCAGTGTGAGGAGGAGACACATGGATGGGAGCGTGTCTGGTCGATAGGTCAGGGTGGTGCCCCTGGCAGGGGAGCGGTGGAGACAAGGCAGAGAGGGTGAGGCTCACTCTGAAACTGTCAGTTGGCCTGTTAAAGCAGTGCGTTCTTGAGAGAGTGATCAGGCCAGGGAGGGGGGGACAGGCTGTGGCTGGTGAGGGGGAGGGCGGGAAGGAGGGGGCGAGGCTACAGATGGGGGGTGGGCTGTGACTGGATGGAAGGTGGGGCTCCCAGGATGGGGAGCCTGGGCGTCAGTGCTGGCCTCAGTGTGGAACATGGTGAGCTGCCAGGGGGAGACTCGGGTCTGGGGCTCAGGAAACATTTAGGATATATCTGGTGACTGAAACCACAGAAATGGTTGAGTTGGCTCTTTTTGAGAGAGACTGTCTCCCAGGGCTCAGGAAACATTTAGGATATATCTGGTGACTGAAACCACAGAAATGGTTGAGTTGGCTCTTTTTGAGAGAGACTGTCTCCCAGGGGTCTGGGTGGGCAATGAGGCTGTCCCCGCAATGGGGAGCCTGGGAAGGGGACAGAGTAGGACAAGGCCCAGGCTGCGATTGCACCTTGGTCACGTGTCTGTGGTCCCCGTAGTCCTTTGCTTGGCTGAGCCATGACCTCCTACCCCCTTGCCCCCAGAGCCCTACAGCCCTGCCGTGTGGGTGATGATGTTCGTCATGTGCCTCACTGTGGTCGCCGTCACCGTTTTCATCTTCGAGTACCTCAGTCCCGTCGGCTACAACCGCAGCTTGGCCACGGGCAAGCGTGAGTCCCCTTCCTCCATCACCTCAGAGCACCCGGACCGCAGATAGAACTACATTTCCCAACAGCCCCTGGGGTAGAGGCATTGGGGGCTGCTGGGAATCGTAGTTCTTTCTGCTCTCTCATGGAGTAGAAGGGATTTGGGGTCCATGTCCCCCTCCTGGCCCCCTGCAGGGCCTGGTGGCTCAACCTTCACCATTGGGAAATCCATCTGGCTGCTCTGGGCCCTGGTGTTCAATAACTCGGTGCCCGTGGAGAACCCCCGGGGGACCACCAGCAAAATCATGGTGCTGGTGTGGGCCTTCTTCGCCGTCATCTTCCTCGCCAGCTACACAGCCAACCTGGCCGCCTTCATGATCCAGGAGGAGTACGTGGACACCGTGTCTGGGCTCAGCGATCGAAAGGTGTGTGTGTTCGGGGAGACGGGGAGCTGGCTGGGGCTGGAGGTCAGGCCAGAATTTGGTACGTGGGAGGTCAGAAGAGAATTCCAAAATGGTAGAATAGAATGTTCTGGAAGAGAAAGGTTATGTTGCACAATGAACTGTTTAAATATTCCCAGGAGAAGAGAGTGACCCCAAACGTCCTGGGGGTGAGGGGTGGGGCAGTATTGCCAAATGGGATATCCCACTTGGTGTAGTGCTTCCCTCAAAGTGGGATGAAGGGCCAATCTCTGAACTTCCTCCAATGGAGATCAATGCTTTTGTAAAATACGATAGAAATGAATTATGAGGGGCGCCTGGGTGGCTCAGTCGTTAAGCGTCTGCCTTCGGCTCAGGTCATGATCCCAGGGTCCTGGGATCGAGCCCCACGTCGGACTCCCTGCTCAGTGGAGAGTCTGCTTCTCCCTCTCCCTCTGCCTGCCTCTCTGCCTATTCGTGCTCTCTCTCTGTCAAATAAATAAATAAAATCTTAATAAATAAATAAATAAATAAATAAATAAATAAATAAATAAATAAATAAATGCGCAGCGCCTGGCTGGCTCAGTCGGTAGAACATGCAACTCTTGATCTCGGGCTCATAAGTTCGAGTCCCACACTGGGTGTAGAATTTACTTTAAAAATAAACAAATTTTAAAAAAATCTTTAAAAGAATTGCTCTAAGTGCTTATTCTCTCAATTTCTATACTTACCTCATCCAGACCACAGTTTGTTCAGGGACTGGTGGTTTGCAGACCACTCTTTGAGACTAAAGTGGTTAACTGGGTATCATGACCTATTAGAAGGTTGAGAAATCAGGGGTGCCTGGGTGGCTCAGTCGTTAAGCGTCTGCCTTCGGCTCAGGTCATGATCCCAGGGTCCTGGGATCAAGCCCCACATCAGGCCCCCTGCTCCGTGGGAAGTCTGCTGCTCCCTCTCCCACTCCCCCTGCTTGTGTTCCCTCTCCTGCTGTGTCTCTCTGTCAAAAAAAAAAACTTAAAAAAAAGAAAGAAGATTGAGAAGTCAGTTCAGTGGATTGCAACAAGCATTTTTTTAAAAAGATTTTATTTATTTATTTATTTGTCAGAGAGAGAGTACACACAAACAGGGGGAGTGGTGGGCAGAGGGAGAAGCAGGCTCCCCACTGAGCAAGGAGCCCAGTTCGGGACTCGATCCCAGGACCCTGGGATCATGAGCTGAGCCAAAGGCCGATGTTTAACCGACTGAGCCACTCAGGCATCCTGACAAGTATTTTTTTTTTTTTAATGGAATAGAATAGAAAATATGTCTGCATCTTTGTTTTAGTCATATACGCACTTGACATTGAGCCAGCCCACACTGGTATGGCTATGTCTGCTGTTAAAAGAGTAAACTTTTGGGGCGCCTGGGTGGCTCAGTCAGTTAGGCATCTGACTCTTGATTTCAGCTCAGGTCATGATCTCAGAGTTGTGAGATCAAGCCCCGCATTGGGCTTATGCTGAGCATGGAGTCTGTTTAGGATTCTCTCTTTCCCTCTGCCCCTACCCCCCCCCCCCCCAGGCTTGCACGTGCACGAGTTCTCTCTGTGTCTGTCTTAAAAAAAAAAAAGAAGAAGAAGAGTGAACTATTTCTGAATGGATTGGTAATTAGCAATTGCCTCCAGCCCCCACCGTGCCAACCCCTGCCCCTGGGACTTCCCGTGATCCAGCAAGTTAAGGGTTAATGCCTGGCCCATCAGAGGCATCTGCGACCCTTCTCCAATGAACTCTGTAGCCAGTGTCTTTTCAGATTGGACCATGATCAGGCCATGCCGGGTGTTAAATATTTCAATATTACTCCTGACTGTGTATACATATATATGTGTGTACATGTCTGCATGCATACGTGTGGCTGTCTGCAGATGGATCTGCTGGGTGGGAGCAGAAAAGGGTCACGGTGAGCACGTTGGAGAAGCATTTCTGGGCTGGGGTGCCTGCCAGTTGACAGGTGTCCCCCAGAACAGAGCATCTGGGTCAAGGCTATTCTTGACCCAGATGGCCCCAGGGGGGCGCCCTAATAACTTCCCATTCTGCCCCAGTTCCAGCGGCCCCAGGAGCAGTACCCGCCCCTGAAGTTTGGGACGGTGCCCAACGGGTCCACGGAGAAGAACATCCGCAGCAACTACCCCGACATGCACAGCTATATGGTGCGGTACAACCAGCCCCGCGTAGAGGAAGCGCTCACTCAGCTCAAGGCAGGGTCAGCGCAGACTCGGGCTGGGGGGTGGGGGGGCTGCCGGGGGCCCTGAGGATGCCGGGAGAGAGTGAGGGGCCAGGGGCCACTCATCAGCCTCAGAGGTCAGCTAGGGGTGGGTCGGCTTGGAGGACATACGTAGATCATTGAAGGTGGGAGTGAACTCCCCCTTCCAGAACCAGGGTCCTTGTGATGTGTCTTCAGAGATCTAGGAGTTACAGATTCCGGAGCTGGCCTGCTGGGGTTCAAACCCTGGCTCTGTCTCTTCGTGGCTTGGTGACCTTGGGCAAGTTACTCAACCACTCTGAGCCTTTGTTTCCTCCTTTGTAAAATGGGGATAGCAAAAGGACCTGCCTCATAAGGTTGTTATGAGGATTATTATAGCTCTTATTATTGGTTCGTTTATTATTTGGTAGTAATGGTGCTCGCTCGCTGTGGGTGTTTACTGCTATATTATTATTTTCATTATGATCATTAGATCTGAACTCACTGGAATGGATACTTGGATTAGGTTGTTTGTTTTGCTTTTTAACTTCAGTTTCCCAAATCATGGGGGTAAAGTTAAGTTCAGGCTCCAAAGTACAAGACCAAGGTTACAACAAAGCTGAGCACAGTAACTTTCTCCCTGTCCCTCCTTGATTTCTTCATTCAACACGCATTTATTTTCTTGGCGCCTAGTCTATGCCAGGCAGTGAAGAAACAGACCAGAGTCCCTGCTTTCAAGGGAGCTTAGGGTCCAGAGGTGGGACATTTATAAGAAACGGACAAATGGAAGAATTGGCATGATCCAGAAAGTGATGGTGAGCCAGGGCATGACTGAACTGGGATATATTCACCAAGGTGTTCAGGGCGGGCCTCTTGGAGGAGGTGAGTGGAGCAGAGCCCTGAGGGAGGTGAGGGCTAGCCAGGTGGACATGTGGAGGTAGAGCTTTGCAGGCAGAGGAAATAGGGTGTGCAAATGGCCTGAGGTGGGAGTGGTCTTGGATTATTGGAGGAACAGCAAGAAGGCCAATGTGGCTGGATGGCAGAGAGCTGACGTTAGAGGGATGAGAGCAGGACACGGGTGTGAACCCTGAGGCTGAGGTCAGGGTTGGGTTTTTTTCGAAGGGCAGCAAGAAGCCAGGAGGAGGGGAGATTCTAAGTAGGGGAGGGGTGTGATCTGATTTCTGTTTGCAAATGCCCCATCTGGCTGACAAGTGGAGAATGGATGGACAGGAATTAGTGTGGAGGCTATCACGTCCTCTGGATCACCTTCCCCAAGTAGCTCACCCCTCAAGTAGCCACTCCTTTTTACCCTTCTGTCTTGATTGGAATTGTTGAGCTGCAAGAAAAGAAGCCCAATCGACCAGCTGTAGGGAAGATGGTTGGGTAAGCATTGCGATGCAGGGGAGGCTCTCAGAACCAGTAGCAGAAAAGAAATCTAGGCTTTGTGGGAACATGAACGTCATTCATTCATTTTTAAATGTTTTAAAGAGCAGCAAACTCTGTGCCAGGCCCAGTTCCTGCACTGGATACCAATAGTCAATAAAAGAGGTAAGTCGCCTGGATCCTTAGGAGTACTTAAACAGACAGAGGTTTCGTTTTCTCTCTCAGTAAGAAGTCCAAGGCTGGCACGATAGCTCAAAGATACCATCAACGATCCAAACTCTTTCCATGTATTTGTTCTGTTGACCTTGGTGCCTAGACCTTCTTGATCATTGTGACTGCCTCATGGTCACAAGATGGCTGCTTCCCCGCCGTGCTGCATATCTTGGTTCCAGGCAAGAAGGAGGAGGAAGAGTGAAAAGTGGAGGATTTCCTCCTGGCAAGGCCTTGCCTTTTTATTGGGGAAAATATGCCTTTCTGAGGAACTTCTGGCTATTTCACAGTGTGTGTCGGATGGTCACTCCCAGTTGCAAAGGAAGCTGGGAAATTGAGTGTGTTAGCCTTCCAGGCTCTGTTGTAGACAATGGCAGAGGGGGAGGTTGCAAATGGAGATTGTGCCAGCCAAGCCATCCGTCAGAGTCCTGCCCTTGTGCAGTTTGCAACTGTGCCACCGGGCAGCCTCTCTCTTGTCTCTTTTCTTTCTCTGGGGCTCTACTTCCTCTCTCTCGACTCCTGGGGCTCACAAGGTCTCTCATCTCTGTCTCTCCCTGTATCCTCTCTGTGCCTTCTTTCCCCGCAAGCCTCTCGTTTCGGACACTGAGGACTAAAGCCCCTTCTCATTAGTCACCTCTTCTTTCTCTCTGCCCCACTTCACCCCCTGCAGAGAACTGCCCCTTTCTCTTCTACCCTCCCCATTGAAGCACCGTGAACTGGAGGCATTTTGGGTAACAGGCTTTTCTTTTTCGGCTGAGACTTGGGGCAGCCTGATTGCTAACGTTTGCAGAAGAGTACACACGGAGGCTCGCATACCTTATGTCGAACTACTGAAACTTCATCGATCATGCAAGCCGACCATTCATTATGTTGGGTCCTCCTGCCTTGACAAATAGACCTTAACAAACAGAAAGGCTAAACAAGTTCAAGTTCAGAATTCTGCCTTCCAGGAGAACAGCTGACTCCTTGTCCTCCCATCTGAATCTGTTTCCTTGCCTCTTGCAGCTTCTCAAGGCTGCCCGCATTCCTTGGCTCGTGGCCCTAGATCCTTCAAACTCTGCTAGAATTGTCATAGCTTCTTCTCTGACTGACCCTACCCCCTTCCTCTTGAAAGGACCTTATGATGACATTGGGTCCACCCGTATAATCCAGGCTAATCCCCCCATCCCAAGATCCTTCATTTATTCACATCTGCAAAGTCTCTTTTCCAGTGTAAGATAACATATTCGCAAGTTCCAGGTATTAGGGTGTGGGTATCTTTTTTAAAAATACGTATTTTTAAATCTATTTATCTGAGAGAGAGCGAGCGCAAGCATGAAGGGAGGGAGGGGCAGAGGGAGAGGGAGAAGCAGACTCTCCACTGAACAGGGAGCCTAACATGGGGCTCAATCCCAGGACCCCGGGATCATGACCTGAGCCGAAGGCAGATACCCAACCGACTAAGCCACCCAGGCCCAGGGTGTGGATATCTTTGGGGGGCCATTATTCTACCAACCCCAGGTTCCCAGAGCATAATATCCAGCGGAGGTGTGGATTCTGGGTGGGCACAACTCCTTGGCCCCAGGGATTCCCCTGGGAATGGGGGGTGGAGTGGGGAGAGTCCTCAAGAGCATGGGGTCCAGAGTAGCACTCCCTTGCCAGAGGTCTAAGATGGGTACTGAGTTTGGAGAATCCCGGGCAGAGGTGCTAGGACACAGCACAGAATAGGAAACACTGGTTTTTAAATTGTCTGTCCATCCATCCATCCATCCATCCATTCATCCATCCATCCATCCATCCATCCATTCTTTTCTCTAGAGGCCGTTTGTCCATATCTTCCCATATAATGTGGGGGTGCTGGTGTCCCCCATGTCTTGGGAGTTCTCAGCAGTATCCTGGGGGTGTTTAACAGCACCGATTTTAAAACCAGATTGGAATGGGAGCTACCCCTTACTTGCTGTGGGCCCTGGGCCAGTGAATCGAGCTTCTGAGCCTTAATTTTTGCCTTCATAATACGGCGTCCGCAATCGCACCGGGTTACAAAGCGGCTCTGGGAAATGAAACATCAGGAGCCAAGGTTCCTCCCTTGCTTCTCTATCTCTTCCTCTCAGGGGCCACTGGCTGTCTGCACATTATCTTGGCTTCAGCTGCAGCCACGGTTGCCGTATGGCCCCCAGTTTCCGCGCCGCCTTTCACCTCCAGGGTCCAGGGTGAGCACCTGCATGCCTCGGTTCAATTTCACATCCCCGCTATTGAGAATCCAGTTGGTCCAGCGCGGAGTCAGGTGTCATGCTCGGGCCAATCAGCGGCGGGTGGGGCGGGGCCTGGTCACGTGGCTTCTGGGTTGCCACGCCCCTGCTCCGCGCGGGGGTTCTCAAAGATGAACCTATGCGGACAGGTGGGCAAACAAAGTCTTGCGCTTCTTTGCAGACCACCCTTCCTCCACTGGCCTCCTTCAGCTGCGAAGCCTGGTGGACCCCTTCGCCCCCTCCCCTGGGCTACCCCATTTGGAGGACACCCCTTTTCTTTGTGCCCGGCACCCTTCGCCTTCATATTCCCAAGCCCCTTGAACAGTTTCCCTTCCCCCAAATGTCTTTTAACTTCTCTATAGCGGTTTTACTTGCATAATACTTCCTTGGTGTTAAAAATAATAAGGTAAATGGGCACCTGGGTGGCTCAGTCAGTTAAGCCTTGGGCTGAGGTCATGATCTCAGGGTCCTGAGATTGAGTCCCGCCTGGGGCTCTCTGCTCAGCGGTGAGTCTGCTTCTCCCTCTCCCTCTCCCTCTGTGCTATCCCTCTCTCTCTCTCTTTCAAATAAATAAATAAAATCTTAAAATAATAATAATAATAAGGTAAAAAGAGGAGATCTCTTCCCTTCCCCTCCTTATCCACTCTTCATGATTCCAGGAGTTTCCTCCAGCCTTTTTTTTTTTTTCTAGAGCAGAGCTCGGGAGCCATATATGTAATTTAAAATTTTCTATTGGCCACACTCAAAGAAACAGGTGATATTAATTTTAGTGAAATGCTGTGTTTACCCCAATATCTCCAATATTTGACTTCAATATGTAATATGAAAATTAATGAGATTTTTTTTCTTTCTCTCTCTCTCTTTTTTTTTTTTTTTTGTACTTTGAAGTATGTTATACTCACAGCACATCTCAGTTTGGACTTGCCACATTCCAAGGGCTCAAGAGCCCACCTGACTAGTGGCTGCCATTGTAGACAGTGTCAATCCAGAACTCTCTCTTTTTTAAAAAGGTTGTTTATAATCTTTACATCCAACGTGGGGCTTGAACTCACAATCCCGAGATCAAGAGTCATGGGCTTCTCCGACCAAGCCAGCCAGAGCCTCTTTTTAGCTCTTTTGTTTTTCCTTTTTCTTCCCTTCCTTCTTTGCCTACTTCATTTCCTCCTTCCTGACCCCTTCCTCCTCCTCCTCCTCCTCTTC